GTGGTGCCCGGCCTGAGCTTAGATCTGCTGGAACAGCGTAGCGAGCCGTATGCGGGCGACGAGAGCATCAGTGCTAGAAGTGTCTCTTCTCCGGTGCCTGCTGCCGCAACGATGGGCCAGCAAAACATCTGGGACGAGTGCGAGTCTTACTTGCTAGATTCCGCCGTGGACCTCTTCAAAAAAGAATGCGCCCGAGAAGCTGAGCAGCAGCGCTGTCAGGCAACAGTTTCTTTCGAAGTGCTGTCCAGATCAATATCAGAATTCCCTACTCGTTCCCTTGCCGGCTCACAGTACTACGTGGAGTCTTGGGGAAGAGGCGTATCAGGAACAGAATGGACCATTGCGACGCAGGGGATGGGATATTCCGCTGTGGAGCCGATTCCTTTCCAGAAGTGCTGGCTTATTTCTTACCCAAATTCGTCACTCGTGTAAAGGAGCTGGGATTCGTCACTTGCCATCATCTTGCTGGCTCTTGGAAAATACAAGTATCCTGGGCCCCGCCATGGTCGCAGAGTGAGCTTTCGATTGCGCACTGTATAGTTTAGCGTTGCAGTCACTGAAGAGTTTGGCATGCTGGACTCGGCTTGAGATGCCTCGTCGCCTCGCCGGGTTCGGCTCGTGTTCTCTGGACAAGGGGACCCTTAGCCCACGCTCCCACCCTGCGGGCCCTCCTCCTCTTCTTCTCTCTTCCTCCTTTGCGTCCCCTCTCTTGGGGGGGTGCCTGGGCTTGGTGGTTGCCCTATCTGTGTGGCTCTGGGGTTGGGGGAACCTCGTCGCCGCCGTCTCCATCCCGCTATATCTCGCCAAATTCCTTGTCGGGGCTTCGACCATCCGCCCTAATGCCACGAACGAACGAACGAACGAGGAGGAGGAGGATGAGGAGGAGTCGGAGGAGGAGGAGGAGGGGGAGGGGGAGGGGGAGGCGGAGGGGGTGGAGGTGGAGGCGGGGGATGATGGTGATGAGTAGGAGCAGGAGGACGATGGGATGGTTCGGCGAGAATGTCACGGTTGATGGGCGCAGCCTCCCGAAAGAGAGGGCGCATCGTTTCTCAGCTCATCGGAAGCTAGGCCATTTATTTTGATTCCCAGCACTTGTCTTCCCCCTCCCCAGCCACCGTGCGCCACCGTGGTTACAGCTGGCACGATTGGGCTTTCCGCCTTGGAGTGCTCCTCGCGCTTGATTTCTCCATGGGGCTCTGGGCCTTCGGCGAAAGGGCTGATGTGTTTGCCTACGCTCTTGTGGTTTTGCTTCGACTATATCCTCACCCTTCCTCCACTCGAGGACAAGCCCTAGCAGGACCAAGAGGGAGGGGGTCGCCCAGGGTTCGTCGGAGATTTGCCCTCTCGAGGAGAAACCCTCGGGCGGGGCCAGGACCAGGATGAACCGCTCCAGAGGGCTTGGGATCGCTCTCAGAGCGCTCCAGAACGCTCCGGAACGGCCGCGGCGCCCGATACGCCCTCCAGAACCGCCAGATCTCAGAGATGCCTGACTCATCCTGGTCCGATTTTGTCCCCGGTCCGACGCCGTCAGAAGCCCCAGCCAGGCCCGGATCGCCCGTTTCTCTTCGGTCCGGCCAGGGCTTCTTCCTCATCGCTGGTCATCACGGGTGTTGTTGTGGGGGTTGGTCGAGGCCGGTCGCCGCAAGGCCTACGCTCTTAGATTTGGCGTCGCTCGGACGTGTGCATTTTTTTGGGCAAGGACCATCGAAGAGCATCCTGGATCATCTTGCCAAAAGGAAGCGCGCGAAACCGAAAAGTGCACGGGGAAGGGACGTCCGAGAAGCAGCGAGTGGTGCATGTGCGTGACACTGGAATTCACGGAGGCAGTAGGCTCAGACGTGCCTGCGCCGTGGAAAACAATCTGTGACGGAAGGCTCTTGGCCGTGTTCGGCCTCCGGGGGACCCTCACCTGGCCCCAGGACCGTCTGAGAACGGCTCGGGATGAAAACTGGCCCCACGGCAAGGGTCGGGACTTCTGGGGACTTGTCTTGAAGAAGGAAATACATCGCATGTCTGGGGAGAGAGAGAGAGAGAGAGAGTGAGACAGAAGGCTGGATTCTGGCCCAAGGTGGCCTCAGAGTCTCGTCAGGCTGCAGCTCCTTGGAGGTTGAGTTCTGAACGTTGGCACTGGTGTGTCATTTCCTTGGATCCAATCAGGCCCAATCTGGCCTACTCATCCGCCTGAATATGTTTGCTAAGCGGGGCTCGGTCCGCACAATGGCTCCTTTATCGGGCGTAGCGCGGCATCACCCCACATTTACCTCAGTTGTGTGTGCGTCGCCCCCCCCCCCCCACACACACACTTGGTGGCGGGGCGCCTCATGGCTATACCGCTCGGGTAACGGTACATACTATGACATGCTTGTGCTACCTGTTCGGTTCGGACGTGCGCCGCCAGGCGGGGACGCATTGTACCAGCATTCGGCGGCGAGCGAGAGGGGGAAGTGAGAAGGGGCGGGCCTTCTCAGAAGGCTCCGAAGTCCCCCGGCCTTCTGAGAAGTTGTCTAAGCCTTTCCCGAAGACGCAGAACATTTCTCACACGGTGCGAGAACTTCTGAGAAGCCCCGCCGCCTTCTGAGAAGGCCTTCTCCGTCTCACTTCCCCGCTTGCTCGCCGCCGAGCCACCCTGTGCGAAGATGACGAGACCACTGATGCGCAAGCCTGTGCGATGCCGATGAAGAGCTACTATCGTAGTCCGCCAGACCCGTGCGCTGCGAGCGCGGCCTGGGCGCAGGGTCTGCTCCCAAACACGCCTGCAGCGAACGGCGAGGCAGCAGCAGCAGGAAGATAAGGAAGGAATTGTGCTCAGGCGCATGTCTGCTCAGGAGCGGAGGCGGAGTTGAGGAACGAGGCGCACATCTGGATACATGAACGGTGCCCTTTTTGCCCTTCCAGGTGGCCGAAAAGGGGCACCGAAAGGCACCAGTCTTCCGACGACGCCTTTATAAATGAGGAGGGGCAAGGAGGGGACTGCGAGAAAGATGTGGTGTGAGAGAGAGAGAGAGAAAGAGAGAGAGAGAGAGAGAAAAAAGAGAGAGAGAGAGAGAGAAAGAGATAACCACCTATCGAAACCATCCTTAGCGCGCCAACGCGCATGCAAGAGTCACATGACGGCGAGGCCTCGATCCACCTTCTGTTACGGCCGAGTTGGGAGGCATACGAGAGTCCATATCCGATGGCCCTCGTGGCCAGTGCCTGACAGAGCTGGGATTCCTGAGCTGGAAATGAAACAAAAAGAAGCTGAAACGGAAGCTCGAAGTACTCTGAAGTCTACTGGAGTATAGACACCTATGAGCGTTTGGAACCATCCAAATTTGGCACGGTTGAGTTTCTTCGACGGCGAAGGTGATCCGCTGGAGTGGTGGGAGCCCTTGCCACGGCCCCCGCGAGGACTCGCTCGCTGGAGGCCTCCTGGTCGTGCCCCCGTCTTCGTTCTTGGCCCGCGCGACCTTCCTGATGAATTCGTTGGCCTTGCTGGTGAAGGCCGACTTCATGGCGGTGGCCATGTGCTCCGCTTGCTTGTGCAAGGCCAGTTCCTTCTCGCGGTTCTCGCGGTCTTGCACGAATGCCGCATGCTCCTTGTCTATTTTCACGAGTCTCTCTCGCATGTCATCGAGGTCGCGGCTGCTGCGGCGGTTGTCCTTCCCCGAGGACCGCTCCTGGCGGCGGTCGGACGATGGAGAACGATCGCGCCAGTCCTGATCGCAGTCACGATCGCGATCTCGATCACGGTCGCGGTCTTCTGGAGATTGATGGCGCCGGCCGTCTCCGCGCCTGCTGCCCACCGGCGGTCCACTCAGATGCATGCAGGCCCCAGGGCGGGCGTCGTCGTCGAAGCCCTGCAGTCGGCGGAGTCTCCGTAGGACGGACCGAGCCCTTTGGGCCGAGATGCACCACGGCGCTGCATGGAGGGCCGCTGGGGTCAGGGACAAGGGGTGCTCCACCAGGAACAGTTTCAGGGCCAACTCCAGAAGGGCTGGGGCCCGGGCGATACGGCAGCCGAACAGCGCGACCACTGCCGAGAAACCTCGGGGCGGGGCGCCGGGCCACTCCACGATGTTTGACCGGGCCCGGCGAGGTTCCGCTCCCAGAAGGCAGGGTCGATGTGCGTTCTTCCGGGGGACCCTGCACCACCAGCTCGATATCCAACCAAACGCGAGAAACAACATGGCCAGTCACCTCGGACGCGGTGCTCAGTTTCAGCGGGAAAGCCAGCCTCAGGTAATCGAAAAGGCAAGAACGACAGTAATGGGTGCTGATACATACCTAGGATGTCGTCCATATACCTCTTTTGGCCCACGACTGCCTGGAACACCCCGGGAATCGGACTGAACAGGCGTCGGCGAATCTCTGGGGTCCCGTTGGGCACGATGCTCGAACCAGTACATCAAACTGCTCAAAGCTACGCCACTGAGGACCCCGCCAATCGTAAGTCCCCTCATCTCGTAGCCATCCGTCGTCGTGCTTGGCAGCCAGAGCACAGGCAGCATCATGCAGGACCCGGGGTCGATGTCCAGGGTGCCCTCAGGGGAGCATGAGCGCGCGCACGTGCTCGACGACCCTCCCTAGCAAACCTGGGAGGGGGCCGCGACTGAGCGCGGTCTTGCCCACGTACGCCCCTGAGTGGCTTGCTAAGACATAGAAGACCACTGCCTGGTAGGGGTCGGAATCGAGGCCGAGGACGCACTGGAGGCTACGCCAAACCACGGGGCGGGTCCAGCCCTCCAAGCCCCCGCGCCCGTCCGGCGCCAGCAGCGGCGTGATGCGGCGCGCCCAGTGGTGCGGGCGTCGGCTGCGGCAGGCTGCCCTCGGGCGCAGGTAACCACCGAGGAACAGCAGCAGGAGGGCGAGCACACTCCACGGGTAGGCCGATCGGAGCGGTCTCCACGTCGGTGGCGGAGTCCCCGCGACATGCTCGAAGAGCCAGCCCAGCGCCGTCGCGACGTGGCCCAGGGACCTCGGAGGAGCACGGCGACTCCAGAGCCATTCTCGCAGGCGTG